GTTAGTCCCTGTGTTGCCTCTTACACAGAAGCAGAGCAAACATGCAATGATGAAAATGCAATTCTGCAGAAAAGAAGGACTTCTTAGACAAGCAACATCTGATATTGAAATATCCACGTAAGTTTAAACAGTTGTCAGTCTGTCTGTATTATGAAAATACACCTACTTATCAATCGGTTATTAAAGTAGGGTAGTAACTGTGCTGTAAATATAGAGAAGATATCCAAGAGGGATCTTTGCGCCTACCAATTAGCTCTATGTCAGTTAAATGTTTTCTGTTCTTTTCTCTGATCTGTTTGATCAGTTTGCCTGTCCGCCATCTTAATCAGTGTTTTGATCAACCTCAAAAGTTAACATGCACAACTTCAATACTTTTTGAGCAGTATTCAAAACGATCTTTCAATCATCCCCAAATTTCGAAATGCGGAAGAGAAACCTTCATGTGAAATTTGAAAAAGACCCCTCCGGTACATTCTGAGAAATAACGCTAACAAACTTTCATTCACAAATTCAAGATTGCTGACTGTCGGCCATATTGGTGTTTCCTTCATTCCCAAAACTTTATAAGCGTAACTAGGGACAATAGGGAACTTACATGTAAAATTTGAGAAAGACCATTCCAGGTCTTCCCAAAAAAATAGAACTCGCACACCTTTAATAACTTTCAAATTCAAGGTGGCTGCCTGTCAGCCATTTTGGTTGCCCCTACAGTCCAAAAATTCGAAATTCATAACTTAGAACAATGGGAAAACTTCGTGTGAAATTCGAGAAATATCCTTCAAGTACTTTCTGAGAAATAACGCTAGCAAACGTAACCCTCAAATTCAAGATGGCTAGCTGTTGGCCATCCTTTTGTTGTGGTTAGTCCCAAAAACGATATGCATAACTAGAGAACATCGGGAACCTTCATGTGAAATTTGAGAAAGATCCTTCCAGTACGTTTTGAGAGAGATGGTGCTAACAAACTTGAACTCTCAAATTCAAGATGGCTTACTGTCGGACATTGTTGTTTTGTGATAAGTCCCAAAAAATGTTATGCATACCTAGGGACCTTGGGGAATCTTCATGTGAAATTTGTTTAGAGAAGTCCCCTCCAGTACTTTCTGATAAAAAGCGCTAGCAAACTAAAATTCAAGATTGCTGGCTGTCGGCCATCTTGATTTTGTAATCAGTCCACAAAACATGATGTGCATAGCTATAGACCATGGGGAACCTTCGTGTGAAATTTGAGAAAGATCCCTCCAGTACTTTTCGATAAATAGCACTAGCAAGAATTGTTAAGGACGGACGATTTGAACTACTTGATGAGGATGGCCTAAAACAAAGGGCACCTTAGTTTAGCAATCTGACTATCTAATGTATGTTTTACCTAAACCTATCACTTATGATGCAGCGCATCGTCAGTCATCCAACAACTTCTTGACAGATGCAAACTAGTAAGTCTGTAGATTATTTGAGGGGAAGTCAGCCATATGTGTATTTGATCAACAAAGGAAGTCGTATGGGGATCTTCCGCACATAATCATTATCAGTTAATATAAAGACCTATTATTTAGGTAACAGGCTCTCTTTTTTCTTTATCATAATACATTGTAACGTCTTCATTTGCACAACCTCACTTTAGCACCCCGTGAATGTCGGGGACTGATAGAACATACCTGCATGTTGTATAAGGCAGCTAATGCAAGGACTCTACAGAATAGGGAATTTTTCGTGCACTCATATTAGGGACACAGAAATGATCAAAGTAAATCTGTTTCACCTATTACCACTTTTGGGAATTTATTTCCGTTTTTAATTTTCCCACTGCCTTGCTTGGCAAAACATTAACCTTTAACCTCTGTTTGGCCGGGACATACCAATGTCCTAAACAATGTATTTGCTATTCCACACAAAACATTCAGCATTTGGGATATCGCAACAACTGGTTAACCCGTTAATATATTGTGACCGGATGAAGGACCGTGCTTGATGATTTCGGCAACGTATTTCTCTGACGTTGCATTACATAGTTGGCATCAATGATGTAGCATTAGACAGTCGGCATTAAATCTGTATTATCGCTAGGTTTGGTTTGTTTTTGTTTTGTTTAAAGTCCTATCAACAGATAAGGTTATTTAAAGACATATCTGGATGTGTGTTCTGTATGCTTGCTTACGTGTTTTACTGCAGGAGGCAGAGTTTGCTGGTGTATGTGCCTCCTTGTGAAAACGCAGATATAATGACCATTTATAGTGATATCTCACTAAAATGTCATGCCGAATGCACCAAGCAAAGCATTCCGCCCGGTCACATTGCACTGACAACGAGTAAGCAGGTTGTTGGCATTACCCTAAATGCTGAATGTTTAGCAGGGAATAACAACTACCATGTTCAAGGTCTTTGGTATGTCCCGGCTCGGGACTGAGCCCATTGCCCTCCTCACCTGGGCGAACGTTCAACATCAAAGCCAAAAGGGAGGTATTGCCAAGCATGGCACTACGAAAAAATTTGCTTTGGTGTCCTCTATTTGAGGACACAAAAGCGACCAAAGTAAATCTGCTGTGCCCATTGCAATAATCGGGATCTTCTCTTTCTTTCTACTTCTAACTACCTTTTATTTCCTAGCGCCTTGCTTGGCAACACCTTATATTTTGATTGAATGTTGAGCGTTCTCCCAGGTAAGGTAGGCAATGGGATCTGTCCCCACGCCGGGACATACCGAAGTCCTTAACAAGAGGCCCAGAGGGCCTGTATCGTTCAACTTATAAATCACTTATGTTAAATTATTCTTATAACATAAAATCACTCCAATGGTAGAGAAGAAGAAGGATTTTAAAGATTTAAACATCAATTTTTTCTATTAGGCCCCGCAACTCTCAGCCCCCCCCCCCCCTCTCCCCAATGGGTCCAAACCAACAGCTTATACAGAATTTAGTCCCCTTTGCCAAAGTATTCTCCAGGTCAAATTGGGATAACATTCCTATGGTAGAAGCAGAGATTAGCAACTTGCTCTTGTCTTACCATTGGTCACTGGTAACCGGATATCATATCGCAAGTTACGCTTCACCTACGCCATATTGGATATACGGTTCGCTGCATTCAATAATCCTGTCCTGTTCAAAACATAAGTATGCCATGAGAAAACATCGAAAATCAACGTAATAGTAAACCCGTAGCTAGCTGGGATTTCAATGCGGTTTGGGAGTGCTACATTGAATGTAAACTTGAATGATTAAGTTTAGAAAACACCAAACATCGAAAGATTGCACATCGTGGCTGTGTTTACATATCGGTAATGATTCTGGCTTCAGGAGAACACGAACTCCGTTTTTGTTCTTTAGACAATTTCAACAAAATCAATTATTTGATAATATTTCTAACCAGGAAAATAAAATGAGGTTGTTACAATAATTGCAAAGTTTCATAATTTAGCTATGAAAATACAGATTTTTCTGAGTAAATAAGTTAAAATGGCGGCTTTGATGTGTGAGGGTTATTTCTATCATGACAAATTAGAACACGAACTCCGTGTTTGTTCTCAAGACAATTTCAAAAAAGTTTTCAAAAAATCATTAGTTGATAATATTTCTAGCCAGGAAATTAAAATGAGGTTGTTACAATACTTGCAAAGTTTGATAATTTAGCTCTGGAAAAACAAGTTTTTAAGAATAAACAAGTTAAAATGGCGGCTTTGACGTGTGAGAATTTTTTTCTTTCTTAACACATTAAAACTACTTTCCAATTCATTATTTAATTTTAAAATCATCTTCAGATATCTATTCAAACATAATATTTCTAGCCAGCTTTTTCAAATAAGGTATTTATGATACTTGCAAAATTTAATAATTGAGCTCTGAAAATACACTTTAAAATATACAAGTTAAAATGGCGGCTGTGATGTGCGTGGGTTAATTCCTTTCATGACACCGGCACTCCTTTATCGTTCATTATTTCATTTCAAAAACGTATTAAGATATTACATTATATTTCTAACCAGCTTCTTTATATGAGCCATATATCTAGGATATGTGACATGTTGACACGAACTAACGAATACACGATCGAATTCTCACAGGTAACTCACTGACCAGACTATCGTCACCAGAATCGATAAGCTGTCAAAACAAATACTCATAGATCAGGTTCCGCATGATTGCGCAGCCGCAACACAAGTCTCTCGGCATTTCTAATTCCACTGCCTGAACAATACAATCATGCGTGTTTTTGCGAGATCTGCGTGAGTTGCCAATCTCTGTAATATACGTCTCTGGTAGAAGAAGGATTTCAAATGTATTTACCTCAATTTCCCCTATTGGGCACCCCAACCCTGCCTACAGGAGGTCCAATTCACCGTTTGAACAAATGATTCAGACAAAATTTGGATGAAATCCTTTAATAACTATCGTAAAAGAAGGATTTCAAAGGTTTTTACCTCTATTTCCCCTATTGGATTCTGCCATCGGCATGGTATTTCAGTGAGATAGCACTTTAAAGCCGGCATCCGTTCCGCGATATCACATGGAAACAAGCACACCAACATACCCTTTCTCCTGCACACGCAAGCATGCATACACTTCACATATGGAGGCAAGTCCTTAATGACCTTAGCTGTTAATAGGACGTGAAAAAACAAAAAACAAACCAAACTAAACCAATCTCACCTTTCATACGTGATTAGTTTCATGTCAAGTGTATTTAGCCCAGACGAAAAACCAGATGGCATTTCCTAATGCGTGAGTATTCCGTCAAACGTTGACAATTAACCATTATAATTGATCAAATACTATTTTGGTAATTATTATACTTTCGTTTTTTAGATCGTGGGATGTTCTTCATTGCTGGGAAAAAATGAAAGGGTTTTGGACTCTTCCCGATAATACCGTCTTGGACCAATCCGTCCAGTGGTCAATTGTTCGTTAGGACTATGACGGGCCCTGCTTGATTATATGGAGTGTTGGCGGAATGTATTACCTTGCTGATAGTTCATGTAGAATAAAAGGGTTCTTCATTTGTGAGGAAAAGTACCGAATCTAATCACAGCACTGAAGTCAACATGGATAAGAAGACTACACAGAGAAATCAATAATTGGGTAAATATGTCTAATAATGCTTTCAATACCGACTACCTAGCAAATTGTGGAATACAAAACAGCAAGGCTAACTCTAATAATACAACAATTTTATTTTGGTACTCTAAAGGAATAACACATGTACATAATATGTTTAGACATGAGGGATCTATTTATTCACATGAAGAGTTTAATACCAGAAATGATATCAGGACCTTTTTTTAACTTATCAGGGAATGGTTGCAGCTATTCGCAAATATGTTGATCGACAGGGACTAGATATACATGAGAGACTATTTTTACCTTTTGTACCTATAAATTTAAAATCAATTAAAAAAGTACAAGAGGAGCACAAGATGTATATCGAGTACTCATTAAAAACAATACTCAACCAGCTGCACAGGTAAAATGGCATCTCTCATTAGGAATAGTTGTAGAAGATTGGAGATTAGTTTACAGATGTCTTTTTGAGACCACTGAAAACTCAAAGCTTTTATGGTTACAATATAGGATAAACCATAAAATTTTGACTACTAATTCATATACACAAAAAGTTGGTTTAACTGAAAATGGAGATTGTACTTTTTGTAAAACAGAAAGAGAAACTAGAATACATCTTCTGTGGGAATGTGATAAGACCCAGGAATTACTCCAATTTTTTTTTAATATATTTAAATACACAAAATATTGATTTAGTTTTCGAAAAAAATATATTTCTGTTTGGCAGATATAGAGATAATCAATGGCTCATATAGCGGATAATTATTTGCTACTTATAATAAAACAATATATTTACAATTCTAGATGTTTAAAGAAAGATTTACAATTGAACACTTTGAAAACTCACATACAAGTGGGAATTAGAATACAAAATCTTATATACCAACAGAAAAATAAATGTGATGAGTTTCAAAGGATATGGGGCAAATGGTCTCTGTTCTTAGAATAGATATATGGTTTTTTTTCTCTTTTTCTTTCTGGCCAGCTGCTTTTGCCTTTTTCTAGATTTCCCTCTTTACCTTTTTATGTGTAGGTACGAAAGAATGTTTCTTCACCGCTCAATATATATGTATGCTGCCTTATTATGCTTACATGTGATGCATTGTACAGTATGTGTATATGCGTGGATGTGTGTGCAGATGTATGTACATGTATGTATGAATGATGCATGCATGTATGTGCAGTGTGTCTGGAGTATGTATGTATGTGTATATATGTGTGTATCTTGTGTGTATCTGTTGTATGTATATGTGCTTAAGCATACTTTTGAGTATAGAAATGTGGGCCTAATTGTGTACTAAGGCTTATATGAATTGAAGGTGAGACGGTATGGAGACAGGAGCACAGATGTGGATATATGTATGTATTGGATGTGTGTTCGAAATTACTTGTATATTACGTTGATGTATGTCTAATATGTATACGTCTATGAAATGAAAAATACAAAAAAAAAAAGGGAACAGGGGTCAAATATGTTTAAAACCTTTAAACGACTTATTCTCAATAAGCAAAAGGCCAAGGGTAATGATATTTGGCCATTAACATGTTGGGATGAAGTACTCCCAAGTTTGTTTAAATGAATGACCTTCGCCCATATTCAAGGTCACAGTGGACGATACATGTTTCAATATTTTAATGACTTGTTCAGTAAAACCAAAAGGTCCAGGGTACTGATATTTTCCAAGAAGCATGTTGGGTTGGAAGACTTTACACTCTGTTCAACCTAATGTCCTTGTTCGACATTCAAGGTCACAGGCGTCATATGTTTAAATCTTTTAATAGGTTCTTATGAACCAAACACTGATATTCTGCCTAAAGCTGTATTTTAGTCCACTTTTAAGATTACAAGTGTGAGATTAATACCAGGTGAGCGATTCAGGCTCATTGGGCCTCTTGTTAAAGACTCTGGTATGTATCGGCCAGGGGACAGAACCCAAAGCCTTCCTCATAGGGGGGACGCTCAACTAAAGGCATTATCAAGTGAGGCATCGAGAGAAAAAAGTTGTTTAGAAAGAAGAGAAAAGATAAGATACCAAATTAAGTCGGCCTTTACGAACATGCATGCAATGTACGATCATGCATGCAATAGGGCAGCATGTACAATTCTTACACCCTACCTTTAGGGACAGGATTCGCCGCTGGAGCTAGGTAATGAAAATTGGAAGAAGGAAATGTATCAAATATTTATTTACATCAGCGACACTATTGATCGAACTTTACGGATGAATGCCGACAGCAGGTGATACTGAAGGGGATGCTATCAGTATTCATGCTTGATAAACGTTTGATAAACCGTAGATATCTCCATAAAACGGCCGTTCAAAAGTCAACCGATATTCAACCGTAACAGCCGATCCAGCCCTAAAAGACAAATGCAATATAGACGATGACCAGCCGCGAGTCGGACACTGATTGAACGGATGCCAGACTATTCCCCGTAATTATAACTAATATTAAACTGAGTGCCTTCGACATGCTTTTTTATTTTGTTTTCACCAGTATGTTGTAAATTAACAAATAGTGTCCTCTGGTAGGCGGGCTTCCATACACCTCGCTGTCGATTTATAATAATTTACATGTTATTATCACTTTTTAGATCACCTGAGATGAAGTCTCAAGTTACCTATTCTTATCGCCTTTTGTCCGTCGTCGTGCGTCCGTAAACAATTTACACTTTCGACTTTTCAGAAACCGCTGATCCGAAGTTTACTATAGTTTATATTGGAAAATGATACACATTCGGGTGTTTGGTTCATTTTCAATTGGAAATTATTCAAACTTGACAGCCATTATAACTATGAAATTTGGAAGGGAAACTAATTTTGTATAAATGGTGGGTTTGAAATCCCTGGGGCGGGGGAAAATAGGAGAGTACTTATACGAGGTTGAAACATCAAAACATAACAAACGTGAGCCAATACAGTATGAAATATTTATAAAATTGTCGCCAGCTTATTGCGATTAGCTTTAATTAAAGGACGCCGTAAATTCTTTATCCCTGAAGTACAATACGATCAACAAGCGCCCCCGCGGGAGTGAATCATATTTTGATCGATTGGTATATCCAGACTGATGGGCCGTTTATTCAAGCTAACACCTGGATCTGAAAAGGACACAATTGTGTGTGTTGATCATGAATCGTAAACAGGTTATTACTTTCTTTTGTATCTTTTCAGTTAGAGTAGATATTTCAAGTAAAGATTGCAATCTGAAATACTACGGGGACGGAAAAGATCTCTATCTTCCTGGATTCGTACAGAGTACTGTGGATAATATCGGTTTTCAGCAGTGTATCAAACTGTGTTACAAGAAAGTAAATTGTGATTCTATCAACTATGACAAAATTGGTCTCAGATGTGAAATGAACACAATTGTAACAACTGGCCAAACAATTGACGACTTTCTGGAGAGCAGACTGGGATCGGTGCACACAATGGTCAACAAAACGGGGGAGTCTGCATGGCAGGTATGCTACACATTCAGAATTTAATGTTTTGTTGTTATCACCATTTCTTTGTTCGTTTTTGTAACATTGTGTGTAGGCTGCTACAGGCTCGAGATGCTATACAACATCAAGACACCATAAACCGTGGCATTGTCCCCGCACCATGCTGTTCCTAAAGTAAAATTAACTATGCAATTCAGTTATCCGGTCTGGTTGATGTTCCGACTGTTTGGTTAGGTCCAATGTGAAGAAAAAAACGCATGGTTATATCGATAGTTTATTTATTGAGCTCTCAATGGCCCAACAACACAAACGAAGTCTTTCTTAAGGGCCAATACAGAGTACATAAAATACGCAAACAGAACCAACAGTTTTCAGGTAGATTAGAATTGTTATATATCGGGGGAAAGCCCATAGATGACTATGGCTGGAAACCATGCTTTGGTCATTAAACATGTTTTGTATTTTCAACTAAAAGTTTCCATGGTAACAGGAAAGAGTAAATAGTGATTCCGAAATAGCAAAAGGCACAAATAGGATACTTCTTTCGTTTGCAGCAAGGCACTAGTATGAACACTAATTTTTTAGTCACCCCTTGGGAAACCCCAGTGGTGACTATTAATGTCGGTTTCAGTTTCTACCACTTGTAGAATAGGAGATAAAAGATCCTCTATTTTCCCTATTGGACCCGCCCCTCTGAGTCCAGGGGGGTGGGGGGGGGGTCATCATTTGTTTATACAAACGTGAGGCCCCTTTGTCCAAAGATGCTCTTGAACAAATTTGGTAAAAATCCTCTGAGCCGTTAAGGACTAGAAGCGTTTTAAACGGAAAAGTTGACGGACGACGGACGCTGCACCATGGCATAAGCTCACTTGGCCCTTCGGGCAAGGTGAGCTAAAAACTCCCGAAGGTTAAAGTAAAATATGGTATATCGTATACCTGTTTAACAGATCCAAACTCTATGTTTTGTACTTTTATCTACTTATTCAATGCACGTTACACATTATTAAAATGACTGAAATACTATTGAAAATTGGGTTTTACTGTCAGGTATAGTAAGAGTACATATACGATGTGAACTGGATTGAGTCGATCGCCGATGAGGGTTCATCGATGATCGACAGTTATCAGCACTACTGGATTTTAACAGTGGTAATTGTGTCCGTTAATCTTTATGTGGGGATTTTACACCTCTTTTACGGTTGACTAGTGATACAAAACATGTACCCATTACCTGGTAATTAACAGGTAAGGATGCTTTGTTCATATTCATCAGCATATACAGGGCATACATTTATATGGCCATAAAGCTACAGTTCACATGATTAAGGTCGTTTAAAACTATGGTTCGCGATATGTCCATTTCTGAGAGATAAAAAGATAACCCTGTAAATCTTGCTAAAATATGGCAATATGCTTAAATGAGGAAATATAGAAGTTTAAATAAGAAATCGTGTTTATTTACAGGCCATTCTTTTAAGTTTTATGTTTGGGGTTTAACGTTTTCGCAGCCAGGGTCATGAGGACGGGTGCCTTGGGAGAAACCACCTGAAACAAAAAGTAAATAAAAAGAAGAAAGGCAGGAAACGAAAACGTAAAACGATTCCGAGTGTTGCAATAGGGAGCAGCAGATTAATTCTGGTCTCCTCCACATTCCCTTCGTAGAACACAGAAGAAAACCCCCCGATTCTGCAGGCCCCTAACATTAGTCGCCTCTTTCAATCCATGCAGGGGTTCATTCCTTAAGATATATTACACACGACAACTATAATCGCAGATTGTCAACGTGTGCACATCGGCCATCGTGTAACTTTTTGCGATCCTGTAACTGTACCAATTTGTTCAAAGGAATGATATACACCCCCCCCCCCCCCCCCCAAAC